GTGTGAGCCCTTTGATCCTCAGTCACATATGCCAGAGTTGGAGAGCAACTACTATTGGTACGAGGAAGCTTTGGAGTAGTGTCATTGTTGACTGGCATATGAGTGTAGGTGCTTCCTCTCACCTCCCTCGTTCGAATGGCTCACCTTTCGATCTGTGTCTACATAGGCCAGCCTTTTGACCTTGTTTATGAACCGATCAGATGGAAGCAATCTCAGCATCAAGATCGAGAATCCTGTGGCTTCCAATTTACAAAAGTCGATATCCACTATCACCCGGCATTCCTCTCAAGTCACTTCACTAGAGTTAGAGATAGGATTTTACGAGGATCAAGGTGAGATTAAAAAATCACTGACAAATGTGACTTTTCAATCTCTCGAAACGCTGGTGGTTCACTTGGAAGATTGGATCTATACCGACTACCCTGACGAAAATACGGCAGACGTTAGGAGAGTTTCACTGCTCGAAAGACTATTCGATGTACTCGAAAGCTCTCAGAAGAAACGCTTGCATCTACATATATATGGTGGACCTAAAACAGTGAGCACCGCTTTTGCTGGACACGCCATATGCGAGCGCCTCACAGCCTTAAATCTTCATATCAGTAAGTAAATCTCCTTCCATTCGTTAAGATCACTGGTCAAATTGTTGCAGATATGAGAACTGAAGGCGGAGGTGTCCGAAGGTCAGAAGCGGCTCAGTGGAGTCTGATCTATGCCAAGCATTCTTCCTTTCCTGCATTGAAACAGCTTCATTACAAAGGGTTTCTACCTTTTCTTGGTTCCATCAAGGTCCCGTTACTAGTAGACGCAACATATCAGTGGAATCCTCCGTGGCGTACCAAAGAACACTGGGGGACCTTCCATCCTGACTGGCTCAGCCCCCAAATCCAGCGCTTGAACCTTAAAGGCGTCAGATTAGATCTTCAATTGTATGATTCCAAATTTGAGAGCCTGAAGTGGCTTTGTCTGGACCATATCTCAGTTGTTGGACCTCTCAAGCCATGGCTCCTTCTACCCAATCTTCACACACTTGTCTGGAAACTCTCCCCAAATACCTCAGTATCTGAGGAATACATCGGTGAGATATTGGGCAAAGACGGCATATTT